TTAACGGATCTCGTAGTTATCGAAATTAATGTGCCCGATTTTGGGCCCAACAATTATTCATCCACTAAGTTTTTATAAGAAAATATTATTAGATTCGAAAAAAATTTACGGAACTTAAAATGTTACCTTTCTTTTCGAATTATTTTCTTCTTTTATTGCAATCTTTCTGAAAGCGTCCAGACATTTTCATCTGTCATCTAATTTGCCTTTTTCTTCACATTTACTTGATATTCATTATGGGTGGTGGTCTTTTATGACTTACTTAGGTTTAGCTCCTTGAACACAATGGAAAAATTTAATGCTTTTACGGCTATGCCTAGCCTCCCAATGAACCATTTTTTCTAACTAAATTCGTTCAGCGTCTATCTTTCATAAGTGGTGTTATAATTAACTTAGAATTGTTCATATTGAGAAAGCGGCAGATTTAGGATTTGGAAAAGAATTGATCTTCCACATTCATTTCTAAATTCTTTAATTTAGCCGAAAATAGGTCATTTCAATGCTATATTCAAGTATAGACCTTATGTCAATATTCTTTATGGTTGTAAGATTGACCATAAGTTTTTCCACTAGGGATTTGCTTGTAATCTTAAACCGTTCTTCTATATACTTAAGAAGACTTTAGCTTTTTCAGCTTTCATAAGGAATTTTTTAATGTGTATAGTTACTAGAGACTTTTTCCGCGCTATGCGCTGATTATATATTTTAAATTTTTTAAAATTTACATTTTGTACTAATACGCGTGGATTCTATATTTTAATTTTTTAAAATTTACATTTTGTATTTCTGTTTTGTTTGAGTATGTATCTATTTTTTAAAGCGTAGATTATTTTTGTTATTTTAAAATTTTACATTTTGTACTATTACTTTAGTTGTTTTGTTTGAGTATGTATCTAATTTTTAAACAATTTTATAACAGTATTCTGGCTTAATGTCTTGCTTGTTTTTAGTTTTAAAGGGATTTTTGGTTTTTTTTTCAAAAATCATTTTATAATGGGGTATTTGATTCTATAACCAAAAAAACTTCAATTTACCAAATATACATAACAACTTAATTTTGATACTGTAAATATACTATACCTTATACATTATATAATAATTTGTTAAATCATATATTGATACTGTATATATATGTGTAGTATTAACTTCTTCTTTTTTTATCTTGTTTTTTGTTGTTAGCATGTATCCCCATTCTAATGTAACAGCTTTAGTTTTTTTTATTAACACTACTTTGCATTTCACACATTAAGAACATAGATCTTTTACACATAAAAACAGGGGTAGCAAAAAAAACAAACCAAACCGACCCAACCAAACCCAAGTCGAACCAATATGTCTAAACCATTTGGTTCAAGATTTTATCAACTCGAATGATTTGGTTCTAAACCAAACCAAACAAAAAAAACCTAAGTATTCTTTCTTAGATAAATTAATTAATATACTAATAATATTTAGATTTAATATAATTAACCATTCAACCTAATAAACTAAAAAACATTATACATTTTGCTTTTAAATAAATAGAACACATACAACTAAAATAATGATAACTCATACATTAACATCAAGACTAAAAAATTGCTTCTGATATTTATATTAGGTTTAAAGATAATACTATAAAATTATTGGATTGCATATTCTATATTTTTATTGTGACGTTTATCTTTACAATTAAAAATGAAAAAGATAATATTTAGTGTCAATTTTTTTTAAAATGTTTTTAGAAATTACTATTTTGTAGTTAAATTAAACAAAACGAAAAAAGTTAACTCAATTTAACTGAACATATACAAACAAAACCAAATTATAACCAAATTACACCGAACCGAGTTAAAGTCACTATGATTTAATGTTAGTTGACAAAATATAGAGTCACAAGAGCAACAATAACATATCACCGTAACATACTGATAATACATGCAATTATTACAAATAAATGAAAAAATTTGTTTCATAATTTAAGCACAATATGTTCACTCATGCTTTTTGCGGTGTGTTTCCATTTTCACAATAAATAAGACAAAACTATTATACACTAAATACATAATTACGAATCCAGCATACAACGAACACAACCAACCAAAACTCCTCATACTCTCAGAGATCTGTTTCCATAATCTATAGTTTATAGCTTTGTTTTAACTTTGGGCAACATCGAAAAACACATCACACTCATACTCTTACATTCAATAAAAACAAACACATAGACACTAATCTAAAACACAAACCTTTAAAAATACCACAACTTCAGGCTGATGATATGTAGAAAATACTGTACACAAACATGAAAACAATCCTATGAACCAAAGTAAAACCTCCAACAAATATTACAAACAAATTACCAAATCCCACACGAAGCACGGGTCTCCCTTAGTCTACCAATAAAGTAATGTTACATCTTTTTCTTAGGAGGTAAAATTTCCAGAAGATACAAAATGAAAAAGATTACATGTTTTCCAAGTATCACTTTTTGTATTTCGTAAACATGGGCCACTGATTTGCAGCACTTAAACTAAAGACTCTCTTGTCAGTTTGTATACAAAATGAGAAATAATGCTGCTCTGATCGTTTCTGTAATTTGTAGATGTGTCAGTTCCAAATATTTTATCTTCGTTTGTTTTGCCTTGACTTAAACTAAAGACGATCTCTTGTCAGTTTTCTTTCTGATCTCACAAAGAGACTTTTAATGAGAAGAACGTTTAAAGTCTTAGGTCAGCTTATTTACTCAGAAAATAAGGTAGAAAATACGAAATTGCAAAGACTAATCAAGTTGAACTAAAAGTATTTGTATAGTGAGATCAGTAACTACTTCCGTAGTTAAGCAATTGCAAACTTTGTATTAAATAAGTAACTGATCATTTTATTATAGAAGAGTTTGAAGATTAGATAGATAGTTTTGAATTCAACAAAGATCTCTCAAGAACACACACACAGAATAAAAACAGAGTACTGAGAAATTGGATTATGAGGCAGTCACTTATTTACTCTGACCATCATTACTGAGTAAAATTTAGATATATCTCACCGAAAGATCTTCCGGGAAGCTGGCCTCTTGGTAATCTCTTGGAGAATTATTCTCGCCATGTTATTTAAGGTACTATGGTAGTTCCTGGCCGCCACCACTGTTGACCTGCAATATGTTAGAGGTTAGAGGGGTGGTCAGAGATTGTCACATTTGTAGACGGTGGAAAAATGGTGGTCAGAAAATGACAAATCTCATCAAGAGCCATAGCAGCTGCGTCCGGCTTGGTAAGCTTATCTATGTCTTTGTCGAACACCACAAAAGTCACACTATCATTCCCATCATCAACTGATAATTCGACATGGTACCTATTTTAAAATTTGATATTAGTGAAGGTAGTTATAAGATAGTATAATATCTTAAATATTCATGAACATGAAATCTTTGCACCTGATCACACCGGTGACAGTGGGATTAACACATTGGTAGTAATAAATCGAGCTGCCAGATTTCTCTAGTTTCCTGCTGCATCAAGTGCAGGATAAAAACGACCATCCATTTTGTTGTAGACCTCAACAATCTGAGCTTTGCAAATACAACCAGCTTCCTGCAAATAAAAATTCTAATTTTGAGACTCGGATAGATCTTAAAATATGTTGGAAGCATGAATGGTAGCTGCTAGTTAGAGTTGGAGATGAATTTGTTGAGAACTCAATCTGATCATCAATCGCCTGGTGCGTAATGTCTGGTTCAGAGCTCAGATGTAACTTTAAGCTCATATCTCCAAACGCTCTCGCAACCGCTAACTGTCCATCCACTCGTGGAACATCCGCTAAAACACTTCATAAAAGTTAATATATACACCGTAGCTATAGTTTAGTAACAAATATATATACAACTATTTACCTGGAATATTTGATACAAAGCCACCTCGTTTTTCAATATCTTTTTTTCTCCTTACTTGGTTCATGATCAACTGAGAGCTAATGAGCTACATCATTCTTAGACATACCTGCTCTCGAGTCTCCAGCATCAGAAACCACAAGCTTCCAACCATTGAGTAGTATCCCCGTTACAGCCGTTGAACCTCTTTTACCAAGCTTTCGAGACAGCTGCAAGATCACTGCATCGGTTGATCTATACGCGTTTCTTTATAGCTTTCTTTGTGTCTGTCCAAAACTCCTTCTGAGATTTAAAAAAAAAAAAAGAAAGGTCAGTCACACATAGGATTCTACCTTTCAGGCTTGAAATTAAGATTGTTTTTTACCTCTTTGAGAATGTTTTTTTCAAAGAGATTAGTCTTCAAGTATTTGGCTACATCATATCCCACGTGACCATTAAAGATTTCAAACAAACCAAGTTCATTGCAGTCAACTTTCTTGAATTCGGAAACTACGTAGTGCTTCATGGGATGGCTTGACTTGCCCTTGACAAAGTGAAAAACGTAAGTGATGTTCTTCCACATCTTGCTTTTGCCTCTTCCCGTGTCAGGAGCCGATCCAAAGAACCCGGCCTTGAAATTAACAATAATACAGAGCAAAAACAATAGATTTAGTACTGCAATCACAAAAGATCATAAAGGCCAGGAAACAAACACTGTCTATTCAAATTTTCTTCAAAAGAAATCAGTGAGAAATAATTAAACAACTTTCACCAAATTTAATATCAAACCATCATAAACGTAACAAAGGAATCCGAAACTAAAATCTAGGGACATAATCTTCAGACATAACCATGAAGATGCAGTTTTTGGTTACAGTAAAGGCTAGAAGGTGAGCCGTATTTAATCAAATTCCTTCGTTGTAGGAGAAGCAAAGAAGTAGTAAACTTTTCGATAGATCAGCTAAAAGTCAAAACTTTCACAAAGGATAAGGTTTGAAACTGTATTTCTTTAGACATCAGAAAAGCTGATTCCAAGTCCAGACAGAAACGGAGTAAACCAAGTCAAAAGTTAATATGTAACCTGTAGATTCGCGAACTCCCGAGAGATAGAGTTGGGATTTGAGATCTTGAGAGCTTGGTGGCAGCAGCTGAGATGATCGGGGGAGAGAGAAAGCTTAGGAGGAGGCGAATCATCGGAGGAGAAATCGTAACCACTCAAGACAGTGGAGAGATTCACGGCCAAAGGAGAGTTTTCGTTACCCATGATCGATCGCCAGTGAGATTTAGTGCGACGGCAGCAAGACGTGAGATTCCAGTTGAGTGTTGAGTGTTGAAATCATAGATTTTCAAGTTTGATCACTGGAACAGGAATCGTCGGAACCATCTCGAAGCATAGAAGAAGGGAGCTACGGTTTTGTCGCAACACTAGGCTGTGAAATTAAACTGATTACGATGCTCTTTGTCAGGGAGAGGATGAGAGGAGATGAGAGACGATCGGGAGAGGATGAGAGGCAAGGAAGAGAACGGCTTGACCTAAATCGATAATGGGCGCGCTTTAAGAAAATTTTTGCAGGCCCAAATAAATTTAAGCCCAACCGACAAACAATCCCACATGGTAGTGACTTGGCAGAATAAGAAAACCCTATTGGCTGATTAAAATTTAAGGACGTGGACAGCTTAAAAACACTTATATTCCCTTTTATTTACAGGAGATTGTCATCTTAAAATCATAATTCTCTGTCTATTCAGTTTTGCCTAAGCTTTATGGAAATCTTTTTTGTCCTTAGTACTATCTACTATTAGTGAATTTGACTCTTCTTTGCGGAGTGCCAAATTCAAGTATATTAGTTTTAATGTGAACTCAAAATTCTCTTTTCATTCTGAGAAATTGGTTTGGTATGGACTAGAATAGACAAGACTTTATATAACAATCTTTTCAAAAATCTATAGTTTTGAGATACACAAGTTTAAATTAGGCTTTTAAACATAACCAACACATAAATTTATTTATTGAATACTTATGCCAAGAATCTATGGTGCTCCTGTGGGTAGCAACCATAGCTTCATAAATAATCATAGTATTCGAAGAACATTTATGAGTGGTGTATTGAATTACTCAAACTAAGTTATCTGTGGATATACTTAGTCTACACAATACAAACACTCTATAAGTTATTTGACCATATTTTGTGTACATAGTCTACATGTAACATGTGGGTAACTAATTATTACACAGAATATCAAATATTATTTAAAAATAATTTTCATTTTGCAAATCATTTTAGAGTTAAGTTACTGTGGTGATATCTTTAACCCAAATGTTTCTCTTTATTTGAAAGTATTTTTTTGTATAAATCATGCATAAATTTCTTAATTTTATTCTATACGATTTATGTATAGAAAAAATTATGCATTCATTATTTCTCATTTTAGAGATCGAAAAAGAACACACACATATAATGTATGATTCGATATTTCCGAAAACTCTCATGTCGGTTTTATACTGAAAAAACTTAAACATTATTTAGATCTATTTTTAATTACATGAATATAGATCTACTTTACTTTCCGTATTAGCTAGATGTTTATAACCATTAGCTCTGATACAACATGTATACTCAATTTTACATGAACCTTAAGATCTGTAACATCTAGACTAATCACATACTCTAACCATAGAAGAATTTGCAGAATACCTCGATTTATGGTTGCATAAATCTTCTTGAATGGTTTGATCATGAGTTAAGCCTTCTCTCCGCTTGCCTACATCTTTCTTTATGTATTTCTCTTCGTTTTGTTGTGATGCTTTAGGATGGAGCAAATACATCTGTTTATAGGTCGGGAGAGGGACCTAGCTTCCTCATCAAGTTTTCATAACTTTCTCACCAAGTATTTCTTACTTTCTTGGCAAGTTTAGTCTTTAATCTCAACCATCCATCAAAGTTGAGTAAGTGACAAATGTTTTGCTTAAGGTAACTCATTTCATTCGGAAAAGACAAGTGTGAAGTGTTCTAAAATATTAGGTTCATACATTGAACTTGTTCTCTTATGCAACTTTGATTCCCCATGATTTTGACCCACTTTTATTCATGGTATATGAGTGTTTTAATAACTATTTATTATATTATAGAGGCTTTTTAGAGTATTTACAGATTCATGTACGTTCTTGAGAAATATGGTGATTTTGATGTCTTTTGGAGCCTTTTGAGTGCAGAACTGCACAGACATGTCAGATATTTAGCTATGGATGTAGACCTTACCATCGTTATATTGAGCAGATCTTTTGACAAAAGATATATCTTTGCGTTATATTTCTAATTCTACTGTTCTGAGGTCAATCATCATCATGTAGCAGAAGTTACTCTCATTTTACTGAAAAGTTGTCAGTCTGCCTCGCGAGAGGACGCTGTCGAGAAGATAACAGAAAATCGAACGATGCAACACACTCTGTATCGATCGATATGGATCCAAGAACGCAGGCGAATTATATTTCAAGACATACTTAAACCCAGAAGAAACCCAAATTACCAGAATGCCCCTGGACGGCCAAAAATCCTATTAATGTTATTTACAAGCCATTGTTGACGGCTAGAGATTACCTAAGCGTTTCTTTGATTCATTGTTGTTAGTTATAGGATATAAGGGAGGAACTCCATCAGAGTCCTCTTGGAACTCCTTTGGTTCTTTGATTTTCATATTTATGTTCTATTCATCTATTATATCTATGATTTATGTGACAAACTTCATGTTAGAATAAATCCACCTGTTAGGTTTAGGGTTCAAATAGGTTAGAGGGATTAGCCCCAACTATAGGATCGCTTGTTGTGATATTTTTTATTGGATGTTCTTAATGCCTATGTTCTAGATTAACTACCTAGAAACCTAATTGAAGGAATTTAGATTGTTTGAGCAACCTTTAGACAATCCTTGATATCCTGAATCTATTCTATTAAGCTAGGATTTTATTGGAAACAGGGTGAGAGTTGATCTAGGGATCCATAGTGAGTGTAAATTAACTCGTGCATAAAGCTTAACTAGCCGCATCGATCGATATTCCCATTGGAAATCGATCGATATTCCCATTGGAAATCGATCGACGCTGTGAACAGTAAATCGATCGATATTCATATAGAATATCGATCGACACTGCTATTGATCGAACATTCTTGTTTGGGTCAATAGATCTAATTACTAGACTTATTCGGTAAAGCGAACGCCTAATGAATTTTTTATTTAGTAGTTAAGCTCTTCAATATCATGCATACAAATGTTTAGCACCTATAGGGTTATAATCTACAATACATGAATAGATACCCTAGATTTAGCAACCATCCTTCCATCAAATAACTCTCTGCCATGCTGAAAAATTTTCTTGTTCATCTTGTTTACTTTTTTATTTATTGCTTGCTATATTTACTGCTTTATAATTATTTACTGCTTTATTATTTATTTGCCTAGATTATTCATAATTGTTTAGATCTAATTGGTTCCCTAGTTCCTTGTGGATTCGATCCCTAAGTACTACAGCTGAACCTCTTATTTGAGAGAGTAAAGTCACTCCTTAGGGTAATTTGAGTGATATCAAATTTGGCGCCATTGCCGGGGAACTTTGATCGCCATTAGATCTTATTTAGTTAGATTTAGTCTAGGTTTTGTTACTGTTCAAAAAACTGATAAAAAAATTTATTCTGTATCAGGTACATACATCTCAGTACCAGAAAACAATGAAGAGAGGATTTATGAGTCCTTAGAGGAAGGAGCATCCTGGTTTATGCACGATCCGTGAGTCTACGAGAGAAGAATCGATCGACACCCTCCAAGCAGCAGTGATCGAGAGCGTACACCACAAATCGATCGACACACAATCACGGAAATTGATCGACAACGCCGCGCCGAGAGCAGGTAAGTTTTCACTTACCACATGTTAATAAGGAAGTAGTCCAAATTGAACCAATAGGTCAAATAAGCAATGCAATTAGCCAAACTAAAAATAAATAGGGCATCAAAACCTATGTTACAATCTATTCCACCTTGAATAAAGGTGATGAATAAAATTCCCCTTACAAGACTACTTAAACCATGTTCTCCCGAAATCGATCGACACAGTTCACCCCGTGTCGACCGATCATGTTCTCCTGAAATCAATCGACACAATATATCCCGTGTCAACCAATACTGTTTACCCCGGTACTGTTTACTCCCCCTCGATCGACAATTCATTCCGTGTCGATCGACACCATTCATCTCCCGTCGATCGGCATCAACTCCTCAACGTCGATCGACACTACTTGTAGAAGGATAGAGAATGTTGACTTTGAGATGAAACAGACGTATATCACACTTATGAGTCGGCGTCCTTTTCATGACCTTCCTGACGAGAAACCAATGGATCATATCGACATGTTTCAAGAACTAGTATGGTTTCTCTTTAATGAAGTCCCTGAAGACCACCACTTCTGCAAACTCTTCCCATACACTCTTGCTGGAGAAGCAACATGTTGGTTCAAGGAGTTACAACCAAAATCCCTTAAGACCTGGATTGATACCATGAGAGTCTTATTCAACAAATTTCTCTTTCTGCAGCAAATCTAGAGATTGAGATGGGCTCTATGATGAGATATATGGTAGGGGATGATGAAGAAGAAACCGGTACTGGTGATACAACCTCCACGTTGATCAACGCCACAACATCAACATCGATCGATACCATGATCTCAAAGTCGATCGATATTGTTCACATGACATCGATCGACACTGTTCATCCGACGAAAATCAATACTATTCATCCAAACACCAGTCATCAAGTCTCGACAGATACCACTTGCGTAGATAAGAAGGTTAAAGTTCTCATACTTAAGGTCAATGAGAATGGGATGTTAAGAGACAAAGAATGTCGACCTCACAACAGATCAGGAGAGTTTATTAATGCACATAGTGTTGTGATTCCTGATGACATTTTTGTTGCTGAGATGGATGATCGAGCAGCTCAGAACTCTTTTCAGGGTTTGCCTCATGAAGATCCGAAGCAGCACATCGCAGAGCTTGGAGATCTAGTGTCAAGGAGTGAACAGAATGAAGTATCTAACTACCACATGCTCTGCAAGATCATTCCCTATTCTATCTCTGGGTATGCATTTGGCTGTTTCAGTCAACTACAATCATAATCTCTAACCAGCTGGGATGACGTTGAAAGAGCCTTCCTTTACAAATTTCTTGATGATGCTGAAGCAGCTCGAGAAAAGGAGGAGAATGATACGGGACATG